TGTTGATTAAACATAGACCAGGTAGGTAGACTTCAACTGATTGTGGCATTATCAAATAGCATTTTTCAAATAGCAGAACCATGTTGGATACAGAGTAGTGAGGTTTGCAAGCAAGGGCTGGTTAAATACAGTCAGCAGGTTGCCTGCTGAGGACAGCTAATGGGATGCATTGCTTGTTATGGTATGCCAGTCATTGGGAAGTGCAGCCCACATACTTGGTATCACATTGCTACTGAAACACATATACCATATTACTTCTTTTTGGCTTGACAGCAGCATCATGTTAGTGGAAAATACCACTTGCTTATTTGCTGCATATTAGCAGCATGAGATAGCTAGGTTCTCCAGCTTCTCAAATCTTTGAGATAACTTTTTCTTCAAGGGTAATCTAAGTTGGACTGGACACCTATCAGGGCCAAATGTGGCAGCCATAGGTCATTTTATGCATTCACACAGCAATAGACAGTGAGTGAAGATTTGATCAGGGTAAACATTATGCAGAATAGTTTTGAAATGCCCTATCTCAGCATCAAGCTTTCATGGTGAGTAGATGGCTATGGCGCTTTCATATGGTTGTCAATAAAGATCTTGTCCCTTGTGGAATGTTTGGAATCCCAAAGTGTATATTGACAAATGAACGTAGCCTTACAATTGTTAGTAGTAGGGAACTCATTGGCAGACTTCTCAACTAACACCTCGAGGAAAGCAATTTCATTTGATTGCTCCATTTCAATGGTAAGTTTAAATACACAATGGAGTTTATGCAGCTTGTAAAGAAATTCTTTGATGTAGTTGTGGATTCAAATATTGCAACATGTCGTCTACATATTGGAAGACTACAATGAGTAGAAGGTTAAAGGTCATTCCATCAAAGTAATGGTAATTAATAAAGATGTTTAGAAGGACATCAGAGGGATCCCATAGCAAAACTATCAACTTGGCATATATAGTATCATTGAAACTGAATTCAACTGTGTTGCTAAGTTCAAGGAAAACTGATTCAGATACCAGTGGTGCATCTAGATTACCATGGTATAATGATCTAGTGTAAATGTCAATGGTTTCCTTGATTGCTTTGGTTATTAGGCTAACAATGTTGAAATAGCACATGAACATGATATTACTCTTGATATTTAGGTTTTGTATGAGCTTTAAGAAAGTGATTTTTTTAATTCATTCACTTTAATTGAATTTAATTCATTACTGCTAAAGCCAAAATTTATTGCCCTTCCCTAACTACCCAGAAGTAGTTAAGAGTGAACCACATGTCTGTGGCTCTGACATCACATGTAGACCAGATCAGGTAAAGATATCAGGTTCCCTTCCCTAAAGGACGTTAGTGAATGAGATTTTTTTACAACAATTGACAGTGATTACATTGTGGCTATTAGGTTAGCTTCTAGTTCCAGATTTTATTGAATTCAAATTTCCCTCTCTGCCGTGGTGGAATTCCAACCCATGTCTTCAAAACATCAGACTGAGGCTCACGAGTTACCAGTTCCAGAGAAATTATCACTATGCCACCACTTCCCTCACAGTGTTTGTGGAAAACAAATTTAAAACCGATTGCAGCAATTCAGTCAACCATTTGGCCAAGTCATACTGTGTTGAGTCAAGCACAGATAAAACAGGACGTAAAGGGGCATTCCTTTTGTGTGTCTTTGGAAGCCTGCACATGCGTGAATGCAGTGAGCCACGAAAACAAGCCCTATCATAAATATTTCAAAACCAAGTCTAACAACCACCTCTGCAATTTGTCCTGAAGTGTGGCTGTGAGATCTATAGCAGCAGGTCCTATGGATATGAGCTTAGAATTGTTGTTGAGCACAACATATATTTTATCAACAAGGTGCAGGGCTGGATGAACACAGCAGGTCAAGCAGCATCATAGGAGCAGAGAGGCTGACGTTTCGGGCCTAGACCCTTCATCAGAAAAGGGGGAGGGGAAGGGGGTTCTGAAATAAATCGGGAGAGAGTGGGAGGCAGATAGAAGATGGATAGAGGTGAGGATAGGTGGAGAGGAAACAAACAGGTCGAAGAGGCGGGGATGGGGCCAGTAAAGGTGAGTGTAGGTGGGGAGTTAGGGAGGGGATAGGTCAGTCCAGGGAGGACGGACAGGTCAAGGGGGCGGGATGAGGTTAGTCGGTAGGAGATGGAGGTGCGGCTTGAGGTGGGAGGAAGGGATAGGTGGGAGGAAGAACAGGTTAGGGAGACAGGGACGAGCTGGACTGGTTTTGGGATGCGGTAGGGGGAGGGGAGATTTTGAAACTTGTGAAATCCACATTGATACCCATTGGGCTGCAGGGTTCCCAAGCGGAATATGAGTTGCAACCTTCTGGTGGACCATCTCTAACACCTCTCTCCCCTTCCTGGACCTCTCTGTCTCCATATCGGGCAACCACCTAGAAACCGATACTCATTTCAAGCCCACTGACTCCCACAGCTACCTAGAATACTCCTCCTCCCACCCACCTTCCTGCAAAAATGCTATCCCCTATTCCCAATTCCTTCGCCTCCGCCGCATCTGCTCTCAGGATGAGGCATTCCACTCCCGTACATCTCAGTTGTCCTCGTTTTTCAAGGACCGTAACTTCCCCCTCTCAGTGGTCGAGAACACCCTCAACCATGTCTCCCACATCTCCCGCAACTCATCCCTCACACCTCGTCCACGCAATAAGAACCAAAAAAGAATCCCCCTCGTCCTCACGTACCACCCCACCAACCTCCGGATCCAACGCATCATCCTCCGACACTTCCGCCATCTGCAATCCGACCCCACCACCAAAGACATCTTTCCCTCCCCACCCCTATCTGCTTTCCGGAGGGACCACTCTCTCCATGACTCCCTTGTCTGCTCCACACTCCCCTCCAGTCCCACCACACCCGGCACTTTTCCCTGCAACCGCAGGAAGTGCTACACCTGCCCCCATACCTCCTCCCTCACCCCCATCCCAGGCCCCAAGAAGATTTTCCACATCAAGCAGATGTTCACCTGCACATCTGCCAATGTGGTATACTGCATCCGGTGTGGCTTCCTCTACATCGGGGAAACCAAGCGGAGGCTCGGGGACCGCTTTGCAGAACACCTACGCTCGGTTCGCAATAAACAACTGCACCTCCCAGTCGCAAACCATTTCAACTCCCCCTCCCATTCCTCAGACGACATGTCCATCCTGGGCCTCCTGCAGTGCCACAACGATGCCACCCGAAGGTTGCAGGAACAGCAACTCATATTCCGCTTGGGAACCCTGCAGCCCAATGGTATCAATGTGGATTTCACAAGTTTCAAAATCTCCCCTCCCCCTACCGCATCCCAAAACCAGTCCAGCTCGTCCCTGCCTCCCTAACCTGTTATTCCTCCCACCTATCCCCTCCTCCCACCTCAAGCCGCACCTCCATCTCCTACCGACTAACCTCATCCCGCCCCCTTGACCTGTCCGTCCTCCCTGGACTGACCTATCCCCTCCCTAACTCCCCACCTACACTCACCTTCACTGGCCCCATCCCCGCCTGTTTGACCTGTTTGTTTCCTCTCCACCTATCCTCTCCTCTATCCATCTTCTATCCGCCTCCCGCTCTCTCCCTATTTATTTCAGAACCCCCTTCCCCTCCCCCTTTTCTGATGAAGGGTCTAGGCCCGAAACGTCAGCCCCTCTGCTCCTATGATGCTCCTTGACCTGCTGTGTTCATCCAGCCCTGCACCTTGTTGTCTCGGATTCACCAGCATCTGCAGTTCCTACTATCTCTGATATATTTTATCAAGGTAGTCATGTAAGTTCCGTATGATCTTTTCAGTTCTTCGTCAGCTTTATATTTATGTATGTCAGAGTTTGTCAGGCTTACGCAATGGAACCAGATATTCACATTGCATATGATGATGTGTCAGATCATTGTGTGTTCCACAATATTCACATGCTGGGTCTTCTGGATGTGCTTTCATGGCCTCAGCATCCTTGTTCAATGTTGGTTTGTGGTGTAATAACTGGTAATGAAGGAGTATGAACTCAGAGAATACCTCTTCCTGTTTAATGCAGTGTGAGAGCACAGAAAAATTGAAACCCTAAGTAAGAACAAACTCTTCATTTTAAGAGATTACATTCTCTTAGAGGTTTATCACATGTTTGGGGTCAGCATTCATTATGCAGTTAAACAGCTTATGCTCAAGAACATTTGAGTAATGCAGACTTGTTTCAAGTGGGAAACAGAAACAGAAACTGCTGGAAAAGCTCAGCAGGTCTGAGAACAGAGCTGAAGAAGAGTCACTTGACCTGAAACGTAAACTCTGATTTCCCTTTACAGATGCTGCCAGACCTGCTGAGCTTTTCCAGCAGTTTCTGTTTTTGTTTCTGATTTACAGCATCCGCAGTTCATTTGGTTTTTATTTAGTGTTTCAAGTGGGTATTGTTTATGGTGCAGTCATCTTTGTTATTTGCTTTCTTGGTGTCTGCAATTAGGTTCTTTTTCTTACCATTTTCTAAATTAACATGCATTGGAGAAGGGTCTGGACCCGAAACATCAGCTTTCCTGCTCCTCTGATGCTGCTTGGTCTGCTGTGTTCATCCAGCTCTACACCTTGTTATCTCAGATTCTCCAACATCGGCAGTTCCTACTATCTTTGGAAGGTAATGTTGTTTGGGTGACAAAAATATCTTAAAAATGCAAATTATTTGCCAACAGTACCCACAATGAGAAGAAGTTTCAAATCATGTTGTCAGAAGCAGGTTGACTGCCCTTCTACACAAAGTAAAAGGAAATTGAAGAGGTATTTGGTTCACATCAATTATCAAAATACATGTGAGAGAAGAAATAATTCAAAAATTGAAGCTGAATCATCCTCACTTGACCTGAAATTTACAGCTTTCCTCCAGATTACTTCAATCAATAAACCAAAGACTGAATGCCACATCTATGGTTTCCAGGCTCACAATCTAATTTGCTAAATATGTGAAAACAATGAACTGTCCAAAGATTAACATTGTGCTACTTCCCTCCTTTACTAGGATACAGAGATCATCAATACTGCAATACTGACAGGAAGGACTGTCGCCATTCCTTTAAAGGTCGTTGCTGTGGAAATGAATGGAATCATCACAGATGTGTCACCCTCTGTTCAGTGCAGATCAACTAATGAAGATATTATTAAGGTAACCACACAGACAGTGAGACAAGAATGAACATGGAATGAATTATTAGCCAATGTTACCAGCTGAATTAATTTGTTTCATTCATGCATTCACAGATTTATTTCAATCAAAAAAATGGATGTAGTATTAGTATTTCCATTGTGTCAGCCAATATGGTGTCTGGTAATATTCAAGTGGACTACTCCTGATGTTTTACATGGATTAACATAATGACTTAAGAATGGGATTGATAGCATCCTGAATAAAGGAAGATTATATCAGTTGGAAACACCTAGATGTTACAATTCTTTGTTATTGTTCATGTCATAATTTTTTAACTTAATGTTGCAGTTAGGTTGCAAATACGTCCAATTTCCAACAGTGTACAAGATCAAGTTACACAAACTGATTGATTCCACATTTTTGTCAAAATAGAGTAACACTGTTATTTGTTATCTATTTTTTGTAAGGATGGACATAACGTGAAAGCTTTGCCTCCTGAACCTTCAAAATCATTGACATTACTGCAGAAAATGTTCAATGTTTGTGCATAATTTTAAGAGGAATTGGATCTTAATAGATTTGAGTTATCATAAGGTAGTGTTAGGTTTTTATATAGAAGCAATATTCAGTGGATATTAGAAATATGAAACAAAAATGCATGAAATACTCTGGACCTCTGGCAGTATCTATGGAGAAAGAAGTAGATTTAATGGGCTGGATTTTGTCAGGGCAGGCAGTGGCCCCAGTGGAGGGTCAAAAATCTGAGGGTAACACAACTGCAGCCGTATACAAGATGTCCAACCTGATTCTATGCCAATAAGCAATTTAATTCCTTTTAAGTGACAATATCTTGCCTTGAAGAGCTTTTTGGAACAGTGGCACTACTGGGATTGCATCTCTCCCAGGACAGTACCATCAATACTGCCCTCTAATAAAGGTAATTGAGATAACGTGGTGTAGAGCTGGACGAACACAGCAGGCCAAGCAGCACCAGAGGAGCAGGAAAGCTGACATTTCGGATCGAGACCCTTCTTCAGAAATGGGGGAGGGGAAGGGGATTCTGAAATAAATAGGGAGAGAGAGGAAGGCGGATAGAAGATGGATAAAGGAGAAGATAGGTGGAGAGGAGACAGACAGGTCAAAGAGGCGGGGTTGGAGCCAGTAAAGGTGAATGTAGGTGGGGAGTTAGGGAGGGGATAGGTCGGTCCAGGGAGGATGGACAGGTCAAGGAGGCGGGATGAGGTTAGTGGGTAGGAGATGGGGGTGGGGCTTGAGGTGGGAGGAATGGTTAGGGAGGCGGGGATGAGCTGGGCTGGTTTTGGGATGCGGTCGGGGGAGGGGAGATTCTGAAGCTTGTGAAGTCCACATTGATACCCTTGGGCTGCAGGGTTCCCAAGCGAAATATGAGATGCTGTTCCTAGAGCTTTCGGGTGGCATCATTGTGGCACTGCAGGAGGCCCAGGATGGACATGTCGTCCAAGGAGTGGGAGGGGGCATTGAAATGGTTCGCGACTGGGAGGTGCAGTTGTTTAGTGCGAACCGAGCGTAGGTGTTCTGCAAAGCGGTCCCCAAGCCTCCACTTGGTTTCCCCGATGTAGAGGAGGCCACAATGGGAACAGCGGATACAGTATACCACATTAGCAGATGTGCAGGTAATTGAGTAATAAAGATAATTGAGTCAAGATTGCCACATTCAGTCAGGAGACCCTGGTGAGGGTGAGAAATGGTGTTGCCACTAGGGTAAACTTGGTACTAGAGAGGCCATTGTGCTCAATCAGAAGATTTCACTGCTCAAGCCTGCAGGAAGATCATAGGTTTTAATGTAGTCTTCCCATGCCTTTTGTAGAAGGTCAGCAGAAATAGAAAAGTCTAGTTATTAGATGGGACATCATTATATATGATTCTTATCCTCTGAACAAAAAGAGCAATAAATGTGACATCACTCATTTTGTGCTGCTGAGGTATTGCTAAAGTAAACTTACCCGATATTATCCTGAATGTCTTCTTAACCCCCTAATATACCACAGCAAATGCTTACAAACAAACACTGTTGCCATCTACCCCCACTACTACAGTATGCCCCAATCATCGCTATTACACCAATTAATAGTACCCATCCATTCAAGGCCACTGTCACGTTCTTGATCCAGTTCACTGCTATCCTCGCTCCTGATCCTTCTGTCTATTCAACACTAACCATCATCCTGAACTCAGACATCCCACTCTAGATCATCCTTGACAGTCACTCCAGCCTCTGAACTGCCCATGACCCAACCCCACCCCACTCATCCACCTTGTCTATTCATTGTTATGCTCCCTGCAGAATAATCATAGGTATATCTTCCTTTAAGATCAAAGTTATGCTCCTTCCCAGACGCCACTACTCTCTCTCTGGATCAGCCTTCTTCTTTATTGACCACGTGAACCTTTTGAGAACCTACATGAGGGCTGTTGATAGCAAAATATGATTTGATTTCCAAGACCCCTTCTACAGTAAAGTGCCAAGGTACATCTGCCACATATTTATAGCTTGCTGACTGAATAACTTGAGGCTGAGAATCCAATTTTACCTGCACCTCGGCCTGTCCATTTTGATATTGAATCCCGTGGCTCCTGCTCACCATCTTTAAGATTTCAATGTGTAAACTGAGTGCAGAATACAGTGCTGACTGGCTGCAAATTTAAAATGAGCCCCAGCATTGTGCATAGCTAGCACAAACATATTATTTTGCTTTTGTATTTTGTATTTCTAGGCCTTGAATCTCTGCTTAGACCTGTTTCAAATTAGTAAGGGTAGTAAAGCATGCAGTGGGAAAGAGATGGAGCATTATTTAGGAATCTTCTGTGAACTAGTCAGATGTCTTCTGTTGCAAGCATTGTGAAATACATTACAGTTCATTAATAGAAGGTGCTTCAACAGTCACATTCCACTTTCAGTACACGAAAGAGGATTTCAGTACGTGCTTTAAAAAGAATTGTCCAGCTGCACTTATTCCATGCCCTGCCAAACATACTGCCTGGCTGTTCTCATATGAACCTCAATGCTCTAAACAATTTTTGAGTTACTAGACAAGGTACATGTTGGATGCAATCATCTTATCCTCATGCTGGTTTGGTGATTTGGTGATTTTTTAACTAGATGGGACTGTAGCATTATCCTAGTATGACAACCGAAAAGAATCTGTTCTTCTGACAGTTTACATTGGTTGACTGCAGCAGATTGTCTGCATTGCTTTTACCAAGGATATGTCAGAAACAGGTTGTCAGAGTCTCCATCATAATACGGCAACATCCTTCAATAAATACCGTGAAACTTATTTGAAAACAGCGAAAAAGTCAGAGTCACTGTTATTATGCAATATACTGCAAGTTGTATGAACATATTGTCAGATTGAGACAGTCTATTCCTTATAACATTTCATTTTCTTTTAAGAGTAATAATCACTATTGATAAATTACTTTCTGTTTTTATTGGTAATTACTCATTTATTTGTGCTAGTAAATTCCAGGCTCAAGACTTTAAATCAAACTATGATTGTACTAATATAATTTCCACAGACCTTAAAAAAAACAATTGGAGAAGAAAACTCATTTCTGGTTAGATAAGACGCAATTAACATGAATAGTGTTAAGTGGAAAATAGTTGCCTAGGCTTGCTTTCAGCTATGGGGGTATTTTGGTGTGCAACCCATTGCAGAATGCAGTGTTAACTGGCTACATGCTCAAAATGGGGCTGAGAAATGTGCATAGCTAGAACTTGTTTCAAGTCTGAAAGGTAGTGTGTTCTGTTAAAGAAAATCTGCTGTCATTTCACTGAAGCTAATTCAAATTACTTGTGGAAAACTAGAAAAGAAATAAAAGGAAGTAAATGAAACAACACATAAGAGGTGGGGTCGGATATGATCTATCACCACTGGAGGTATTAATTAGTACAGGAGATGAAAAGGAGAGAGACCCAGCAAAAAATTCAATGGCAGAGCAATGCTTTGAACCTCACCTACATTATACATTCTTAAAAAATGGAGTGTGAAACAGCACAATTGATCCTGGAGTAATATTATTTAAAGGAACAATAATTTGATTACAGGTAAGTAAAATCTGTGGAACTTTTTCACTGTTTTCAAATAAGTTTCACTGTATTTATTGAAGGATGTTGTCGTATTATGATGGAGATGGCAAAGGAATGGGTGATCTGTATACACAAAGGCTGCAATATTTTTGAGGCAACATTGGAAATTACTTTGGATCTACAGTACAACAGGGAGATAAAATGGAGGCTGTGAAGATAGCAAGCATCTTGCATTCCGTAAGAACATATGAACATGAGAAATAGGAGAAGTAACAGGTTATTTGGTCCCTGTAGGCATTTTATTGAATGCCTCTTTGAATTCCAAATATACTATATCTATTTGTTCCCCTTTATTCACAGGCGGGGTTGTTGAGGTACTGCTGGATGGGGTGCTACTGATGTAGGACATCACTTTCCCCCAGGACCAGCACAGAGGGCCACAGCAGTAGACCATGCTAGCTATGTCCAAGGTTACACCTGGTTTAAAGCAGTCTCAGCCAGCTGGAGAAAGGCCCACCACTGTAGAAAGAAGGGTTTTTTTTATCTCCTCCATGATAATTCCTACCGCCTTCTCTCTAATACCTCATACTCAATCCATCTCTGCTCCTGTACCCAAATTCAAGCAAGGCTCAAGCTTTAGTACTCTCACGCCTGCCTACATCTTCCCTGCTCAGTCTCACCCACAGCAACCTGTGAGACCACTCACCCTGCATGTCATTTGTACTGCCTACTCAATCGCTCAGGACACCTCACCTACACCAACAGTATAGCTATGCCATCCATTTTCAATTCTCACAATACCTATCTTTCTCTCTTATTCCAGCCCACATTGGAGCAGAAAGAATCAAGTTGAGTGGTGGGCTCCTGAAAAATAAAATTAGAGAGATTGTTGCTGAAAAGGTCCTGAATTGGTATCAGAGGCTGCTCCTGACTTATTGTGCTGGATCCC